GCAATGCAAAAGCAAAAACAATTGCTGAAGTATCATATTTGTCAAGGGAAACAGTGAATGCCAATTTGAATACTTGCTAGCTGCATCTATGTGATCTGTTTTAGAATAGCAACAAATGTATTCCGTAGAATGTTTCTCGTTTGCGTTTCTCGTTTCCTGTTCGGCTCTTGGCATTATTTGCATGGACAGTTCAAATGATTTGCGGATTGGTGTGCCTCAAGCACAAAATGATTCCATTTGTCGTCATTCATCAAAAATGCATTGCTTCGTTTCCTCAAATACTCAGTCCGAGTAAGGGATAAATTTAAGAGGAAGATTCAACTTTTTGTTTTTAAAGATTTTTATATGATGGAAAATTAAGTTAGTGAACCTCATAAATTCGACAATTTGTTGCAATCTATGGAAAAGCAAAAATGTGTGTCCAGAAAGTAGTTTACTGTTAGAGGTGGCATTAGAACTTTCACTTGCACGCGCACCAAATGCAGTTTATTTGCAGCTTAGTGCCTCAACTCGAGCGTGCATTGTGTTGTGTGCTTGGGCGCTTTTACTACTTAGTTAAATAATTTGGTTAAGAGTTGGAAAACACACCACGCACACACAAGTTTGGGACGCGCGTGCAACAGGGGCAGAAGCACGAGTCAAGAATCCCCGAAGTAACACCAAAGACACGTACCACAGCAGGTGGGCACAGTGTGGCATGATCTGGCATGGTGTGGCAACATAATTGCGTCACAATGCCAGTTAATAAGGCAGTGCGAAAACAAATGTGGCGCGTGGCCAAATTTAATTTGGCGCAATGTAGCTAAATAAATTCGCTGTTGCTTTGTTAGTTATTTATTTGCTTGGCTCCTTTGACAATTAGCTGACAACAAGTGAAAATGTTAGTAAAAACACACACCGAGTGACTTGTAAAATGTATTATTTAACATACAATTCGGCAAGTTGCAAGAAATAAGCTAATTAGCCGTTGCCATAACATGTTTTTGGGGGTGTGGCATGTTGCTAATTAAGCGCGAATTTATGCGTACGCATGTTGCACATACGCCTCGTTTGCGCCTCAACCAGCCACATTCAGAGCATTGAAGCGCATTCATATCTACATATGTACATGCACATATTCATACGAGTATATTATGCACGCCTGGAAAAGGGAACATTGAATATTAATGTAGCGAAAACACTCGTTGAATAATTACCCTGTCACATAGCTGGCAAGGGGTAGATTAATTTTCGACAATTATATCGTCAAATGTTTACAAGAGATTCGAAATTCAAGTGAATATTTCATATTAAGTGAGAAATCATTCAAAACAATGCTCGAGTTGTATATAACGATTAGTAAGTTGACATACAGTCAGAGATTAATGCATAGCAAATCCGAGTAGAAAATGTATTTTAAGTACACAGTTTTAAGCTAAAGCCCATTTGTGGTCTGTAGAATATTTCTTAGCCGCACTTATTGCAGTAATAGCTGCTGCTAGGCAGTTAAACAGCTGTTTGTGTGGCCATTAAGTTTTATTTATGTGCTCCAAAAAGTAGGCAGTAATTTTTTCAACAACGCTGACTGCCTAATTGCGCACAGAAAGCACAAAAAATGTAGCGAGAGAGCAGAGAGAAGAGCGATAAGAGCGCCAGAGGAGATATGCTAATGTGCACATAATTGCATGCAAGTGTGTGTGAAATGTGACACATAATCTGTGACCCTAGGAAAACTGTATTTACTGCTTATCATAAACATTTCCAACGTTAAGGCGCTCTTCTGCATAAGCCCCAATTAGGCGATAATTTTGAGCATGAATAACATAATGCTATATTATTTATGAGGCAAATAAGCATATAAGCAAATAAGTAAACACTTATTTCATTTCAGGCGGTGTCTGCTGTATTTGAGTATCTGAGAATTCAATTCGTGGAATTACTTGCTATTTGAGATACAGACTTAATCATTTCATGAATCGAGCTCGAAAAAGAAAAATCAGAATATATCAGATAATGTTGTAAGCGTCATCAAGTAATCAATTGAAGAAATTAATTTATTTGTAAACGTTGTTTGTTAATCCTTTAGTTCACGTCAAATTGAGCTTGAAGTGGTTTAGCTCAACAGACAACACAATTACACCCTTAACAAACTCAACGATGTTATACATATATATATATATATATATATATATATATATATAGACTATAAATATGTCTTACAAAACTTTGCTTCAACTTTAAAGTCATTTTGTGGAATGTGATCAGGGGCCCGGAAAGCAGAAAACCGACGTTATGGCAGTTGCAACAGTTTGATTTTCTTAGACCAGTTAAGCCTCCAGAGCTTGTCTAAAATTATATGCGACCAACCAGTTGTTGCCAAAAACACAACTTGCAAGAGGCGACTTGTAAAACAATATAATTAATAATTCAAAAGCGCAAAAGTTCAATAATGCGGAGGCGACGAGAAGCATAAAATGGGCGGATTTTGGTTAGGGAGAAACAGAGAGAAACTAAGAGCACTTGTAAAATTCAGTTAATAAAATCAACAAGGGTAATAAAAACCAGTGGAAATGCTTGAGCGAATAACGCTCGACTACCAGATGACCTGTAATATATGAGGGTTCTTGTACGATGAAGTATTATAATAATCTTTGCTATGACTCTTGTATTTATTACGCAATTTACATTTACAATACATACATATTTACATTTACATTTATTTACATTTAATACGAAGTTTGACTGATCAGCTAATTCCCATTTATATCATTTGCATGATGAAAAAATGGTGTGATGTATTGATCACAGACATTTTCTCTACAACTTTCAGCTTAAGGATACCCTACTTTATTTATTTTAATGAGCACCAGACTGCAAGTAAGCAGAAGGAAAGCAAAAGTAACCAAGAAATTGAAAGTTTTTCCCGCACAGCTTTTGTTATCCTAATGAACTAAGACAGCAAACAGCAACTGAAGCAGCAGCAACAACCATTTTCATAAACTTGCCGAAATGAAATTTGTTGAAGACAGACGCAATCCGCTATGACAGCAGGGTGAGCTGATGTGTGTGTGTGTGTGTGTGTGTGTGTGTGAGTGTGTTTATGCTTATGTGTTCAGTTGTTGGGAGCATATCTGGGGCAAAGTGTTGCGCATATGTTGTGTAACGTAAGCGCGTTAACATTGTTAAAGTTACGTTTTGCTAACTGGGTAAACAGCTGTAGCAGTTGCCACTGCAACAATGTCAAGAACAAACGAAAACAACAAATATAAAAACGAAGACGGAGATGGAGATGGAGACGGAGGCGAGAGAAGACGTTTAGCGGAAACGGAAGTTGCTCACAACCGTTAGTACTAAAAATGTTATAGTTAACAGCGGACGAGACAAGGGCGAAATGAATAACGTTAAAGTCTTAACGGGAAAAGCTTTAAAATCTGCTGCATACTTTCTGAACGCTTAAGTTGAAGAACTTTATTTCTTTTTGAACATTTAAATAGTTGAGAGCTGGAACAATCTCGCTTTTGATTGGGGGAGAAGCAAATAGCTGCAAATTAAATGCCAATTTAGATAGAGATTTTTAATTGCATCAATCAAAAGAGCTTTCTGGGGAATTACAAAAAAAACTTGTAATTTTAAATCAAAATCATACTTAAGTGAAAAGAGCACTGGCGATTTAAACAAACCTATAAATACTTTTTTTTTTAACGAATTGAGAATATTTACAAAATGAATATAAATGCGATATCACTGTCATCAACTGAGCTCAACTGACCATTTTCACCTGCCGCAATTAAATATGTATCCATTTCATGCTAAGCCAGGCGCAACAAATATATATCACAATTTTTAGCCAAATAGGATTTGACCACAGATTAAAATGTGACTTGATTACCCTCAGTTTACAACTGCTATCATCTGTATGTGTGTGTGTGCGTGTGTGTATATATATATATATGAATGTATAAGTGAGTGTGCTGCTTGTGTGCGCCTGCATATTTAAGCACTTGTTTAAATACACTACTAAATAAATAAATATTTAAATTTATGTCTTTTTATCAAATAGTTGTCGTTGCTCATAAAAATGTTGTTGATTTTCGTTAGCTCTTTTTCTTTATTATAAAACTGCATTTAATGTGTGTGTGTGTGTCTGCATTTAATTAAGTTTTGTCGGTTTTTAAGTGTCAATATATATATGTATACATATATATATGCCGTTTCTCTTTCTGTTCGTTGTCATTTTGTTGATAACTTTAATTATGGACAAAAGAGTTTTTTGTTATTGGTTGGTTTTTCAGTGGGCATAAAATATTCATGGCATTTTCAATTTAGGGTGTGCAATATATGTGAATATTTTTTATTATTGCATTAATTTCACTTCCCATATTCGATATGATAAGCTGTTTAAACGCTTGCGATGTGTGAAAAAACGATGGTTAAAATATGGCGTTTTTGCAGAGGACATAAAATGCAGATGATATTTGCAAAATATGCGCATTTCCAACATAAGAAATGACATTTTGGCTCAGCTGAAAATTCAATATTTAATGCTTAAGTTGCGTAAATTTAAAGCTAGTGATTTTCAGTTAAGGTGACTGGTGTCAAATTGATTAAATGCAGATTAAATCGCTGTTCAAATCGAATTCGTTATTATTTCATAAATTGTAATAACTCTTTACAATTGGAAGTATTTTCTGTTGCATACCCTTGAGCGTTGAATATGAAATAAATTCTAATAAGAATATTTAATCCCTTAAATTAAAATTTAATTTCTTAATATTTCTAAGCTGTTGTAGCACATTTTCAATTACAAAATTACAAAATTACGCTTTGAGAAAATGATCCACAAATATTAAATATGTAAAATACTATGCAGTTAACAAACTAAATTTATTAAAAAAAAAAACACCTGTCAAGAAGTAAAGCAACAATTGTATTCCTTTAATTTTTGAACAAACCCCAATTCTATTCACTCTCTTTCCTTCTCTCTACTCAGTTTAAAGCCAGAAAAAAATGAGTTAAAACAATTTGTTTTGTTGGTTCTCAAAGAGTACCGCGCTTTATTATTAGTTGCATACTTTCTTAAATGTTTGTCAGTGGTTTGCTTGTGTCAATTATTATAATTTCTTAAAATGCGATTAAATACGGGTTATTGAATAGAATATAATTGAATTGATTTGAATAAATATGCGCACGCTTGTACATAAAAAGCGCGTCTTGTGATTATTTCATAAACGTATATTTTGCTTATAGTTTGAGTTTCATTTCCTCCAGCATGCGATAGACCTTCACAAATTTCTTCTCCACCAGCTCGGTGAATGCTTTGATCTCATTTCGCACAATGGACAGCTCAAGAGCTGCAGCAGAATTTGCGGAGCCGCCATCGCATTTCTTGGATGTTTTATCGCTCTCATACCAGCAGGCAATGCCATCGACAAAATCATCGACCAGTTCCGGTGCCGTAACATCCTCCATAAATGAAATGTCGCGTTTCTTCACAAACGAGCTCATCAGCAGCTGCAGAAAATCACAATTCCAGTTGTTCTGCTGAAAGTGAAAATACTGCAGTGACTTAAGGCTGTCGAAGAGTGTGATTTTTAGCGAGTAGATCGAGTTGCCCGATATGTCCAGCATTTGCAAATGGGTTTGCTTCTTGAACAGACCCTCGGGCAACTCATGCGCGTTGGTCGACGACAGATTGAGACGCAGCAGGGATGTGAAGCGACGCAATGGGTTGCCCTGCAGGTTGCCCAGAGGATTCTGCGATAAGTCCAGACTGCTTACATTGCCGGCCTGTGGAATATGCGGCAACTCCCGCAGTGCATTGTTATGCAAATCGAGTTCCCTGATTGTGCCGTAGACAGTCAGGCGACGCAGATCACAGCTGTGTGCCACAATCTGGTCGAGTTGCGTGAAATTCAGAGTCAGCTCTTGCAGTGTATTCCCAGAGATATCCAGCAGCGTGAGGCGCTGTTGCAACTTCAGCAGCTCCGATTCAAAGGCCGCAAACGAGTTGCGGCCCAAATTCAAGCGCGTCAAATTCAAATTCCGATCGAAAATGCCGCGTGGCAATGCTTCCAATCGATTGCCAGCCAAATCCAGATCCAATAATTTGCGCAATCCGGTAAAAATACCGACTGGCAGCTGCTCCACCTGATTGTCGGCAATGGAGAGCTGCTTGAGCTCCTTCAACGCATGAAAGCTGTGATTGTGCAACACTTTCAGCAGATTGTGCTCCAAGTGCAACGTTGCCAGATTATCGGCGCCTAGGAATATATTCTTGGGTAAATCCTTCAAGCGATTGTGGCCCAAAAAGAGGCTCATCAAATTGCTGGCGCCCTCGAATTGCGGCTTCTCGAACGTCTCCAATGAACAGTTCTCCATGCGCAGCATTTGAAGATCGGGAAACGTATCGAACATCAAATGCGGTATTTTGGCAATGCTCGAATTGATAAAGGTCAACATTAGCTGCTTGGCAATCGGCTGCTGCGACAATATGACATAATCATTGCGTCCAATCTCAACATTGCTGCAAATGCCCGCACTACAATGATCCTCCAGCCAAATGCGACGCAATTGACCCGACGGAGCGGCTGAAGAAACACTACTCGAACCACTCGCTGCACGCACACTGAACGCGACAAGCGACAGCAGCGAAAGCAGCTGTGCCACCTGTACCACATGTGGCAGCCACATCCCTTTGTCAGCCTAGGATACGAATCTAAAGATGCGTTTCGATTTGGCGACTAGCGCCCAACGACGCGCACGCCACGGCGCAACTGGCTCAACTGTTTGCAACTGTAAATTCATTTTGCTTTAGTGGACCACAGCAGGTATCATTTTTGTTGTTGTTGTTGTTCTTGTTGCTGTTGTTGTTGGATGCGGGTTCAATTGTGCCACAGCAGGCAAAAGAGGGCAGCGCTGTAACCCCAAGCCGTGCGCTGTGCTCCATTGTTCCATCAGCGTCCTACTTTAATTGTCAGTATACATTGCTTTTGATTTAATTCAATTAAATGCAGCACAATTTCTTCTTCTTTTTTTCACTTATATTATTTATATATATTTACTTAGCATATTGCTAAGTTTATGTCACAAATAACTGCGCTGAACTTTCGGTTTCATTCCATGCTGCACAACTATTCACTATATTCGACTTTTTTTTATATTCATTTCTGTTTTTGTATGTTTATTTTTTTTACGGTTTGCTTGTCTGCATGATGAAAATGAATGTTTTTTAAAGTAGGAAATGCCAAAATGCTCAAAAAAAAAGGGGGTGAATCGCTGCATTAGCGATTAGATAGAATAAATATTACGAAATTCCATGTGAAATAAAATTCGGGCTATTTTTATAGTCATCCCAGTTTTTACTGGCCCTTTAATTGTTCAGTTGTTGCAAGAGAGAGAGAGAGGCTAACAATTAAGTCTAAAATTAATTTTGTAGCAATTGAGTAGCTTCAACTGTCTTTATACTCATAGATTATCTCAAACACTAGATGAATGAATGGTTCATTCCACAAGGAATTAACAATTACTTCTTACCCCAAAATATCTTTGAGCTTTAACACAATTAAATACCATCTCAAATTTAAGTTCACTAACTAAGCATGCGAAAGAAAAATATTCTAAGCTTATTTAACGATGAGTGATTTCTATTTAAATGCCACACCCGTGGACCATTAGAGAAGATCAGCAAATAGATAAGCCAAGCCAAAGTAGAACCAGTTTCTTGTGTTTAAAACTGACCTAGTTATCAAACAGAATGAGCCAACAGCTTGCATAGGCAGTTGAAATTGATTACTTAAACAATGGGTTGACTGAACCTTAGATTAAAGGTGGGTTCAATGTGACTTAAGTGGTCGAAAATTATTTCGAAGATAAGCCGAACTCCTTCCAAGAACCAAATGATCTTATCTTATGGAACAATTTGATATAAAAGAAGTTAGCTTGAAGCAATATTAAATTAGTTACCAACGATGGCAGTCAACGTCAAGATACTTGGTAAGCAAACGCTAATAGAATAGTTCAAGTAGAAACTAAGGATTAAAGATTAATCAATTCTAGCATTGCTTGTGGGGCTTCTCAGCCTGTCTCAGGCGCATCGCGCTGGACAGCGACGACATCAAGCTGTGGGTCGTAGCATGGAGAACGAGGGAGCAGAAAACACTCCTCAACTTGTGCTGTATGCGCCTGGAGAGGAGCTAAGGAAGGAGCTGGAGAACGAGCCCAATTTCCTTGAGCCGCAAATAGTTGAAACAGACCAGGAGAAAGATGCCCGCAAAGTACCCGATTATCTCTACTCCAACACGATACCCATGGTCAACGATCAAAGCATTAACTATGGCCTGCCCCAGTTGACTGCCATTCCGGTGGCCTATGGACCGCAGATCATCTCAGGCACAAATAGAATTAGCAATAACAATAATAATCTGGGTGTGAACGGAGTTCCATATGTGGTGGTGCCACGTGTCCATCTGGGCTTCAATGTACAGGGCCAGACGGGTATCAATTGGCCCAATATCAACTACCAGCCCAGCAAACAGCCTGGCGATGCGGCTGCCCAGAAGGAGGATATACAGACTAATTACATTCCGATACCAGTGCCTGGTCCCCCGGGACCACCAGGACCACCTGGACCACGTGGACTGCCTGGACCACGTGGTCCAACGGGTCCAACTGGACCACGGGGCAGGGAGGGTCCACGCGGCCCCAGCTCCAGCAATGCACAACAGAGTCCCCAAAGTATTTGGTATGCCCAGAGCAATAGTAACATAAATGGCAACACCAACAGCAACACTAAACCTCAATATGAACATTTTACAAATGGTTATAATAACTAAAGAACAATAATAAGTACGAGAGTAAAACATTTAAAGAAGTGTTTTTTACTATATATAACGGAGAAAGGATATTCCTTTTAAATCAATATTTAATAAGGAATATCCTTTGTTAATATTCCTTTTGATTCAGTTGAATGAGATGAGTTTCAGTGTTATTCTCTTACATCACGAGTAAGGGGATTCCATTATTTTACTTTCGGTTTTCCAGCTTTACTCGCTCAATCTCAAATTCATTAATTTTTGCTTGCTTCCCTCCAAAGTACAGTCGTACTTACAAACAACGAAAAGCACCTCGTTAGAATTATTATTGGTTTTTTTTTTTTTTAAGCTACTATAGCTACTTAGTATTTGTTTATGATGTGATAGGTTGTGTTGTTGGGACCATAAAGCTTCCATCTGTGCGCTCGTGCTTGGTGTCATTTTATGGCAGAGTCAACCACACACATCACACACACGTACGCACACTAGCATATTATGATGATTGTATGTAATTTACATGGATTTTGATGGCACACAACAGCAGCTCTTGGTTTTCTACTTTTTTCTCACTTTTTTTATTTACTTTTTTTTTTTGGGCAGCCCCATTGACGGCCATTCAATTGGCGACATTTTACGGTTCACTTGTGTTGTTCTAGTTTTGGTGTTCTTGTTGTTGTTGTTGGTATAGTTTCTATATATCACCTGACAACGACAATCTTGCTTAAGGTCTCTCTCTCTCTCTCTCTCTCTCTCTCTCTCTCACTCTCTCTCACTCTGACTTTGCAGCATCCCCTGTCACATACACACACACATAAAGTAATGATGTTAAATATAATCACACACACACACACACACAAACACATGCTGCTCGTGTTACATTCGATTGTCGTTTGGGGTCGCCTGTCGACAGCTTCCCTGCCCCACCCTTGTTGATGTTGATGATGGCAACAATCTGTGGCAAAGTCTGATCTTATTGTAGTAGTTAGTTTTTATTGCTCTTCACTACACAGCGCTTACAATAGTTGCAGTGTTTATAGTAGTAGTAGTTGCTGTTATCATTGTTTCTGTTGGTGTTGGTTCAGTTTACTTAAATTGATACGCAGCACGCATTTGTTTCAATTAAATGAAAATGTTTTATGTGCAATGCTGCTCCGCTCGCATTTACAACTAAAAAAAAACACACAGGAAGGGCACTTTAGACCATCCGCATATCTGTGTGTGTGTATGTCCGTGCGTGTATTAAAAATATGAAAAATGTTTGTGTTTCTAATTGCATTAGCTGTCAAAAGACACAAACGTGAACATCAATTTATAAGTCTATGATGACTAAGTTTTGGCTAAGTTGATTTATTAGATTAATGTTATTCATTCACTTATGTGAGTTGACAGAAAAAAAAATTATTTATTCTCAATCTATGAAACTTTTCATTAGTCACTCAAAATAAGTGAAATTAACATTGAAACACAAACCACATCTCATTTATAATATTCTAAAAAGTTCATGAAGTGTACTCATTCATTATTAAAATACTGAATAATGTCAAAATGCTTACGCATTGGTTTCAATGAGTTTTAAAGAGCTAATTCCTAAGTGCTAATGTTACAATGCAAAATGCGTACACAATTTTTTTTTAGCAAAACTCCCTCGCGACCAGCATTATTCCGCCACATTTCTTATCTCTTAATGTGATAGAAAAAAAAAACACAAAAATCCCCACAAAAGGCAAGCATGATAAACCGAATGGGAACAAACCAAAGTTGCGGCAAGGCACTAAGAGAGAAATGTACAAGAAGATAAAATAGAAGTGAAAAAGAAAAAGAAAAAACTCAAAAGCGGTAAATAAATTACACGAATAAAAGTTATGGAAAAGCATATGTTGAAGACACACACAAATGTGAATTAAGTCTGCTTCCAGCTGTAAATGTTCATATGTGTGTGCGAGCATAATAAAAATTATAATGTGTGCCGCAATAATAAAAAATAAACGAATAATTGCGAAATGACAAACATTAAATACCCTAGACAAAATAAATGAATTGGCGAACTTAAAACTTCATGAAAAATTCAATTACTTTATCGCTTTATAACTGAAGAAACAGATTAAAATATTTAAAAAAAAAGAGCTGATCAAAATGATTTATTTTAAGTATTTTATAATAATGTTACACATTTTTTTTATAAAAATTGAAATACCCTCAGCAGCAGTATAGAATTTGTGTTCACAGAACTTTGTGAAAAGACTTCCTCGAACGAAGACTTATGACTTATTTGAAGTATTTTAAAATAAAGTTCCACATTTTATAAAGAAATTAAAAAACCCTCAGCAGCAGTATAAAATGTGTGCTCTCAGAACTTTGTGAAAAGACTTCCTTAGCATATGTAAAGAGAGCAACAACCAAAACACTTCACATAAATTGCTGTGTTAAGACTTTAGTAAATGGAAAAGAGGAACCACCTTCAAAAAGGATTCCTTCCAAAAGTAAATGTCGAGTGTTGCTTATCACTTTTTTGTTGCCCGCTCATGTGCTGATTAAGTTAACATGTTAATAAACATGATTATCGTGTCGTTTTTCTTGCGTTTGCCTTTTGCTGCCTTTAACATGATTATGACAATAAATAATAAAGTGTGGCTACCCTCAGAAATCCACATCCGCCACCCGTTAAGACACGCAACTTGGCAAAAATAAACTTGAGCAGGCAGTTTTTGGTTACTCAACTCAATTTATGATCACTCAAAAATATCAAAATACCCGGAAAATTGGCACAGTTCAACTTAAGACAAGGTTCAGATGACATTTTTCGCTTTGATGTTTACGTGACACGTGGCGTACGCGGAATATGCAGTCTTTCTAATATGAATAAAATAATAGCCTCAATCCAATAAATATATATAAAACGTGGCGTATAAGTAATGTGAAATCTTGTACAAATACAAAGAGCCGAAATTGTTAATTACATTTTTGAATTGCGCAATTATAAAAAACATAAGCAAAGGAAATTTTATATTAATGCCATGAAATGAATTGAATTATGTTTCGGGACTCGACTTACCATTAAATGGATTAAATTTAATTTAAATTTAAAATATTAGAAAACGTTAAGCTCGACAAATTTTAGTCTTTAAAGTGCTTATTGCTGATTTGTTGATTTTTTTATAGACAATTTTTAAGAAAAAGTTAACCATACATTTATTAAGATAAAATAATGTTTAGCCAAGTTATGCAAGGTATTTTTTATAAATTGAATTATTAATAAGAGTTTTCTGTTTAGTACAAATTATTTATTTTTTTGTCTTGCAGCATACGACTTTAGTGAGTAATGTCATTAATATAAAATGCTTGGCATGACTTGACAACATTTGCATTCCCCAAAAAAAGTTGAAATAAAATGCGGCAAATTATATCTGTTAGAAGATATGCACAGAATGGAGTGCCGCCAATGCAAATAGCCTAAGAGTGTGGGCGGAGTGGGTGGGGACTGGGGAAGTATTTGAAACAAAAGTTGTCGGTAATTTGCCGGCAGAGGCCAACAAGTTTGCCCAGTCAGCAAAATGAACATTGGCCGGAATTGCGCCGTTTTGCGTGCATAAAAAAACAAGACAGAAAGAAGAATGCGAAAAGAAATGAATAATAGAGCAAAATGCTGGCATGAGATAATAGGATAAAGCAGCAACAGCCGGTTGCAACAAAGGGAAACGTCGCCATTTTGATGCCAGCTTTTGTCCACTTGCATATTTCATGAAGCGTATTTCGCAGCTCGCGATAAAAGCTGGCCAGAATGAGCAAATCATTTGGACTGAAGCTCAATTCAATTCACAATACGCAATTCCATTCAATGCGAATCCATGCGATTACTTAAAGTAGTACTCAACATTTTATTATAACTTATTCAGTGCCACTCACAGTTCGCCAAGTAGTGCATTATAATGAGCTCAGCTGAGCTGAGACAGCCGAGAGAGCTCGCTGCGCCTATTTATTAATTTTTGATGGCAACGCATTAAAATTCTTGTGGCATACTTCGGGGCGCAGCGCAATAAGTCGCTCAAATTTTAAGTAAAACTTCCCTCGGAAATATGCTCAAAAATACTCGCATAGCATACTTTTGAGGCCCCCTCTCTAAAGGGAAGGCATTTAGTTCATTAAGTTGATTTATGCGCTCAGGTTTTGTGTTACAACGCAAAGCTGAACAAGTTTCACGCTCTAAGAGCTCGTGAAACCTTTGCCAAGACATTTATTCAAATTTTTGGTGTGAAATGAATACTTACAAAACACACTTAAAGGCGCCGCTTGAGTGTAAATTATGCTCAAGTTGTCCATTTGCTTACCTGCAAGCGAAGAATGAACATAAATTATTGAATATTAAAAGGTAAAAACCTGAATTGTTTAATTAAAATTTTAGACTACTGAATACGTATTTAAACTATCTAAAAGCAGCACAGAAAAATTGTAATATATTTGCATATGCAACGAATTTTAAATCACGAATTTTTACTAGCATTTTTCGATCGATAAGTAGCTGCTCTAAAAGACCAACAAATCTGAATGTTTATTCTAATTACACTTTGCGTTTACCTTAAGCTATGCCACTTGAGAAAGATTTCCCTTATCTGTTAACTAGTTTTTCTTCTTTTCTTTTGTTTCTTTTTTGTTTGTTCGTTTTTCCTGCTGCTGCCGGGCCAGCTCTCGATAATGCCACGTGTCATTTCATTTAGCTGCAATTACGGCGCACACTAACGACTTTTAATTAACTCTGAGATTTGTATGGCTAACGCACATACGGTATAATCCTGAAAGTAGTTGTTCTTATCTGGGTCATGTTCATGTCGCTCATGGCCAGGGCTAATGCGTGCCCACCTCTATATATATATATATATATATATATATAGATATATATGAGATTTGTGTATGTGTATATTGTCAGACAGACGTTTCTGCCGATCCATTCCACAGCATTGACCATAAAATTAGCCCAAAGCGGCGCCATTTCAAATGCAGGCGCCACTTGGTCTTTGCCAAAGCCA